CTGCATTTGCCCACCCATGGGCGAATGCGATAAAACCCCTTTTAAAGATAAATGCACTTTTATCCCTTTGATAAGGATAAGGTGTGTTAAAAGAGAGTGCACTAATCTCCTTTCTCAGCTCTCCTGATTAAACGTCTGTTAGTCTACCTGCTTGCTACAGAGTGTTAACTATGGGTTTTATAGAACGAGATTGTCAAATTGGCATGGGTCATAAGGATCTTCTAGTCCAACCCCTTGACAATGCTGGAAATCCATGCCTGACAGATGGTTATCCATCCTCTCTCTGAAAAGCTCCAGTGTTTTGTGTTCGTTTTCTTCCAACAAAGGGAAGTTTTATGATGGTTCAAGTTGCCCTCCTAATATTGTGGATCTAGAATGCCCTCATAGTACAGTCAATGGTAGGAAATGTCAGTTTTAAAACCATGTTTTCAATAAGCATCAGATTTCTAAAAGAATTTCCCACATCTTGGAAACTACTACTGTAACCTTAACTCAATAGTAGCATTACTGCAGAGTGAAAAAAATAAAACACAAAGAATACATTTTTCAGCATCCAAATGGTATTTCCCCCAGTTCTACATCTGATGATAAGCTCTTGTGTATGCTGACAGATAAAATGAATCAAAATAATAAAGTGAATTGAAAATTATATTGCTGTCAATAATTTAATTCGCACCAAACAGCACTCTGACAAGGTAACTGTTATATATGATGCCATGTTTGGTATAATATTTGGAGAATTCATGATAGAAAGTCAACATCTGACTACCAGAATCAACTTATATAATAATAACTGTCACTGTATCTTTGGTTTCATGCTAATTCAACTTTAATTGTCTGCTGTTGAGGAATTGTTGTTGAAGATAGTTAATAATCTTTGCATTTTTGTTACCAAACAATTTTGTAAAGGCATTGTAGCTTGGCCTTCAAAAATCCCAAGCCTTTGTGTTCTTAATTTATAAAAGTCTATTTTTAGACATTTGTATGAATGGTGACAAACTCTACACTTGTAGCCATGTGGATCTGTTATGGAAGGAAGCAGTAAAGAGCCACCACTATTCACAGAGGTCAGCAAAGTTACATTGTGGGACTACAGCTCCTAGCATCCCTGGTCAGTGTGGTCTGAGGCTTCCAAAAAAGTCACTTTTCCAAGCTTCAACTGTATATTTGAGAGTATTGGCTTTTACTCATGCTACAATCTGTTTGCTGACCTTCAAGGCAACCTTTCTCAACTTGATGCCCTTGAAATGTTTTGGACTTCAGTTTCCAGTCCCACCATCCTCTTCCTGGAGGTCCAATGGTCAGCATACTAGGAGTTATAGTTCAAAACATTTGGAGGGTACCAGTTTGCTGAAGGATGCTTCACGATATCCCACAGGACTTGGTTATGTTTACTAAATGACATGTGATGAGGAAGTTGTGGGACTCTAGATGTTGGACTGCAACTCCCATCAGTCTGAGTAAGTACAATCAATGGTGAGAGATACTGGGAGTTGAACTTCAACAATATTTGGAGAAACACCAATATTTGGAGAAACCCCTGGGGTGGATGCTATTACGTATTCCATATTCCTTTTAACTGTGTGCATTGTCTCATATGGAGTGCAATCTTATGCATGTTTACACTGGGATATGTTTACCTGTGTTTACCCTGGGGCACGTTTTCCTGTGTTTAATGTAACCTTGTGAGAATAAGATCAGGCCAGCAGGGAAAGCTTAACAGTGTTTCATACTAAAGCTTTTGTATCTCTTGGTTCATTTTGCATTATAGAAGAGAGATGCATCAAGCATAATTGTTAATACTGCCTGGAGTGCCAGGTATAGAGTTCTTTACAATTAAGGCATTACAAGTGAGGCCAGAAATAAAACGTACTTATACCTCTTTTATTGGGGAAAGGAACTTGATTACATGTAACTTGTTATTTATGTAACTAGTTCCTTCCAAGCTTTGCTACTGTTTGCCAATTTCCATTGCCTGGAGACACTGGAACAGCCAACCAGGGAAGGAGGAAGCCAGAGGAGTAACAGCCCCCCAGCAGCTGGTGGCTTCCATGTCAGTGGGGCAGTGAATATGCTCCTGGTTTTAATCCAAGCTTTGAAGGAGATAGTCAAGGTGCTTCCCCCCTCCTGATTCAGCACCTCGGATAGCTCTCATAATGTTTTGGACTAAAATCCAGATTCACATAAAATCCAAACTCACCCTCCCACTGACATGGAAGCCCCCACTGGGAACTCCAGGCCTGCATCTAGACTGCAGAAATAATGCAATTTGATACTACTTTAACTGCCATGGCTCACTGTTATGGAACCCTGGGATTTGTAGTTTGTTGGGCACCAGAGCTCCCTGCCAAAGAAGGCTAAATATTTCAGAAAACTACAAATCCTAGAATTCCATAGCCTTGAGCCATGGCAATTAAAGCAGTGTCAAACAGCATTATTTTTGCAGTGCAGATAAAGGTCAGGTTAAGCTACTGGAATGGATGGATTTCATTGGGAAGGAGTAATCTTTGAAGGTCTGCTCAGCACCATGGACACTTCTTTCGAAGTTGAAACTAAAACCCAGATTGGATTAGCAGCCATAGTGATCTGAATCATTTACCAGTCAGCTGCCTGACCACCATAGTTATATATTTCTTCAGTGCACCATTTCCCCCTCCCTCTCATTATTTATATGACCAATAAGGAAAAAAAAATAGACTGAAAAGTTGGAAAAGGGGATGATTATAGATGTTTCAAATGAATAAGGACTGATGATACTCCTCCTCCCCACTCAAAAGGACAGAGAGGAAGTCTCTAGTCAAAGGGCCCCTGGGCCCGAGTTGTTCCCCCAGGTGCAAGCTAATCTAGGTTTGCTCATCTCTGTGCTCTGTTCGTTCCCCCTGGTTGCCTTCCCGGGCCTTCAGATTGCTCTGCATGGTCCCTTCCCAGCCATAGATCCACTCCCACTCGGTCCAGAGGTATTCCAAGGGACCCGTGAGGTCAGCAGCCGCTGGCCAAGTGCCAACCTCCCACACACTTCCTCTACAAAGGAGGATGCTTAGATGCCGAGTCCCCTTGCCTTTCAAGTAGATCAAATTCTGCTACAGAGGACTTTGTTCTCACCCCCTTTTTAACTCTGAAAAGATTGGAAACAAATAGGAATTCATTCTTATTCTTCCCCTGCCCCATTTTTTTTTTAAAAAACCAAGAGCTCAGTGGCCAGGAATAAACACAACTGAAGTTTTTGTACTGGAGTCGCTTTCTAGGGAAATTAACACTGACGGTGTCTTTGTGACATCTGTAGCCCCGATCCAGTTCAGTTTAATCATGATGTGTAACACAGTCCTATATGTATTTACTTCAGGGATGGTTGACTGTGTGTGGTGCTGGGAGCCATGTTTTGACACAGGATCCTCAGGGAGGGGGGAGAGATGCATACAACCCAAAAAAGTGCAAGTGGTCAGAAATATACTTTCAGTGTGAAAAACTGAACCTGTATGCTGTATCAGCTATTTAGCTAAGTAAACGAACAGTGTGCTAACTGGCATGAGCCCTAAAGGTGCCAGATCCCATCTGATCTTGGAAGCTAATCAGGGTCAGCCCTGGTTAGTACTTGGATGGGAGACTGTCAATGAAAACCAGCTGCTGTAGACTATATTTTAGACTCGGAATTGGCAAAACCACCTCTGAGTATTCCTTGACTAAGAAAACCATACAGAACTCATGGGGTCCCCAAAAGTCAACAGGCAATTTGAAGACACATATACACACACTTAGATTTACTCTTCTGTAACTGTTCTGCATTCACAATCTCTATTTAGGGTGCATTGACACTGTAGCAATAATGCAGTTTGACACGACTTAAAGTGATGAATTCCATCCTATGGAATCCTCAGATTTGTAGTTTTACAAGGTCTTTAGCCTTCCCTGCCAAAGAGTGTTAGTACCTCACAAAACTACAAATCTCAAGCCGTAGCAGTTAAAGTGGTGTCAAACTGCATTATTTCTACAGTGTAGTTATGAATGTGATTCTATTACCATGAGTGTAACTCCTCAACCTATTTTACCGGCCATCAGCTGCATAGGGAGAAGAAGTGATCAAAGCACAGGCGAATGATGTTTCCATCAAGTTGTGGGTTAGGGCTGGGCCAGGAGAGGTTACTATCTATACATAAGTAAGTAGCTGATGTAAAATAGTGGCCCTGCTCTTTTTGATGTGTGAGTGGGATTGAGACTCAGAAACTAATTTAAAAAGCAAGTTGCTACTCCTGGAGGCTTCCAAGAGAGGCAGTTCATTACTTTTTTTCTGGGGGGGAAAAAAGCAGTCTGGGATGTCTATAGAGGCCAAGGAGCACAAAACCATCCTTGGGGGCCACATGTATACCCAGTTTGCTCATCCCTGATTTACCTGGATGTAGATTTTTTTTCAGTATTAGTGGGGTTTATTCCCAGTAAGTTTATCAAGAACTGCATCCCGTCTATTGAAGCACTTTTCCTATCCCTTGCTCTCCTCTTAAACAGTTATTTCTAATTAGTAAGCCTCAATCACTGCCCCACCAAAAGTGATTTGTGAAAAATGAAAGAACAACAACATACAAGGTGGTTTTATTTGGTTTGTGATAGCAAAGCCATGGCAGTCTGATCCACATAAGAATACAAAGGTTGATATAAAAACAACTGGGAGTATAAATAATATCGGTTTATTTTATTGCTTTGGTTTTAGTGATGTCATACAGATAACTGAATGTTGTGGTACTGAGTGGTATTATGTCTTTTTAATGGGTTACACCTGGAGTTGGCCTGCAGTAAGCAGGAGAAATTGGGGAAAAATGGGTGATATGAATGGAAGTGTTTTGTTTGTTTTTGTTGTTGTGTGTCTTCAAGTTGTTTCTGACTTATGGCAACCCAAAGCAAACCTATCATGGGGTTTTCTTGGCAAGATTTGTTCAGAGGAGGTTTGCCATTGCCTTCCCCTGAGGCTCAGAGCATGTGACTTGCCAAAGGTCACCCTGTGGGTTTCATAGCTGAGCTGAGAATCGAACCCTGGTCTCCAGAGTCATAGTCCAATGCTCAAACCACTACATCACACTGGTTTTGTGCTCAGTGGTAACCCATTTTTAGATACAACTCAGGAGTCTTATTGCTCTTAAGACCATAAAGGGCTGGTTGTTTGACAGTACAGTCCTATATATGTCTACTCAAAAGTATGCCTCTATTCTATTAAGTGGGACATACTCCCAAATAAAGATGTAAAGGACTAGATCCTATGAATAACCTTTACTTGTTATTCTCATGTGTTTAAACAATTTATGTCTAGTCAAATCTCTCACATGCTTTTACTTTGAATACTATTATATGGTCTCACATTTTTTTTCTTCCTCAGATTACTGCAGTTTTGCAAAGAGCGCAGTGGAACAAGATTGGCAAGTCTGTTTCTGATTAAGAACCAAGGAAACAGAGTACAGATTGATGGTACCCGATAAGGGTAGGGTACATGCTGATCAGCTTAAGAGAAATCAAAGGCTACAGAGGCAACTTGTACCTTGGTGGGTTCTTAGTATCAGTGTGGAATACCCTTAACTGGCACTTTTGTTGGCAGGGTTGCTTACAACCTGAGGCCTTATCTGCACCTAACCTTTTCAGAGCTCTCATCCTGTTCCCTCTTTCTAACACTTCTAAAGTTCTTCTGACTATAATGTGTTTGGCACTTGTAACAGGGGTGGGCAGAAGTGGACCTGGGTTTACTAGTAGATCTCTTTTCTAATTTGGTGTAGATCAGCAAAGACTGCTGATGCTTGGTTATATAACAACAGGAGCAACATCAGGAAAAACGTCCCTCCTTTCCTTCCAGCCATAAATTACCAGTGATGTCTGAAGGTTTCCATGTCAGTGGTGTGGTGAATCTACTTTGGGTTAAAGTCCAAAGTTTAAAGCGGCTGAATCTATTTTGGATCTAATAGTCATCACTGTGTGTAGCTCCTTTAAAGTCTGGTTTAAAACAGACTAAGAAAGGGATGGATGCACCCGCCACCCCACTGCTCTTGACAAAACAGCAAGTGATGTGATATGCCACCATAGAATCATAAAATCATACAGTTGGAAAAGGCCCCATGGCCCATCCAGTCCAAACCCCTGCCATGCAGGAACACAGAATCAAAGCACCCCCGACAGATGGCCACCTAACCTCTGTTTAAAAACCTCCAAAGAAGAAGACTCCACCATATTCCAAGGCAGTGTGTTGTGCTGTTGAATAGCTCTTACTGTCAGAAAGTTCCTCCTAATGTTGAGATGGAATCTCTTTTCCTGTAAGTTCCAGGTTTCTTCATTAAAACACTCAGACGGGTTTATCATGGTTTGGGGGCTTGTGGGTGGCAAGAGGAACACACCTGGTCTAAAATCTGGAACAGATTCACTGCCCCAATGATATGGAAGCCTCCATCTGAAGAAGGCTTTGGGGAACCAATAATGACATTTTATATGGAAGGATGGTGTGAGCCACTCAGTTTTGGTACTCAGTTTTGTTTGGCAAAAATTAATATAATTCTAAAGTGTCTGTCACTTCACAGCTTGGTTGGTGGGTCTTAGGAGTCTAGTAAACAACCAGAATCCAGAAGGCTGAAGTCCTGAAGTCTATGGAGAGAGACCTATATATGTCTTCACTTCTTGCCACAGGTTCAAGGGGCTAAACCCAGAAAGTGGAAAAACTGTTTTTTAAGCCTACAACTCCCAGAATCCCTCAGTTACTAGGGTCACTGTCCATGATGGCTTGGAGATTCTGAGAGGTGTACCCCCAAAAAGAACTTTTTCATGTTCTGATGATAACCTACTTTGTCAGGCCTGGTTCTTGTGCAATGAAAGGTGGCTTAGAGTCGGAAAAGCAGATCTCCTGTTTGTTCAGACCAGTTGGCAAACCTAAGCTAGAAGAATTTATAGCCAAGATGAGGAAACTGTGGCCCTTCTGATGTTACTGGACTCATCACCTAGAACCAGCCTGACCTGTAGTGAGGGATGATGGGAATACTTGTTCATCAAAATCCAGAGAAACACAGCCGTGTGTTGAAGGATGTGGGGAGCATCACATGACTCATTTCAAAGACATAGCCATGTTAGCCATATTGAAAATCAGTATGCAAAGGGATCATTCCAGATTATATTTGATAAAAAGGCTTCCTTGTTAGTCCAATTAGTCTCCCTTTAATTCCCTCCTTTGTCCAGAGCTAAATGGTCACATAAAGACTGAACATTGCTCAAATCACTCATTTTCATGGTTTGGCACAACAACAAGGATCCTCCAAGTAAAAGAAACTTGGACTTCAGCCACAGGCTTTCTGTATTTCCAGAATCCACTCATCATTTTTGTGGCATTTTCAGTTGAGAGGTCCATGAGAGGTGTTAAGAACCTCAGACAAGTTGGAGAGATCTTTTCTTTGTAATAGTAAAAGAGGAAGTCAAAATATACCTCTCAGCTATAGCTCCAGGATTATGAAACCTATACACATGAAGCTAGGCATAAGCACTAAGCAAATCCAAAGATGTCCACCTCAGGATATCTTAAAAACATTAACAATCCACTTTTTAAAATGTTAGTTCATTTAAACGTGCCCGTATGTTTAAAATCTGCAGTATCAGCTTCAGCCACTAGATGAGAAACTTTCCTAACCAGTACTTAGATTTGCAGTCAGTACAGTTTGAAATACAGTTAGAGGAAGTCATCCAAGAATAAATGCCAGCCACAGATGCTGGTGAAACATCAAGAATAAATTCTTCTAGAACATAGCCATAAAAAACCCACAAAAAACCCAAACCAATAAATACATTTGTTGTTAACTGCTGTCAAGTCAATTTCAACTTAAGATGACCCTATGAATGAGAGACCTCCAAGTCATTCTATTGTCAACAACCCTGCTCAAGTCTTTCAGAATCAGGGCCCTGGCTTCCTTGATTGAATCTGTCCATCTGGAATGTAGTCTTCTTTTCCTACTGCCTTCTACCTTATCAAGTTGTCTTTTCTAGTGAGTCATGCCTTCTCACAATGTGTCCAAAGTATGAAAGTCAGGTTTGGTTTGCTCTAATACCCATTTATTTATCTTTTTAGCAGTCCACAGTATCTATAAAAAAAATTCTCCAGCACCACATTTCAAATGAGTTGTCCTTCCAATCAGCTTTCTTCATTGTCCAGCTTTCAGTGTATGTCTTTACATTCCAGGATCTTGACTAGTTCCATCATACCTGCCCTTCCAAGTTCTAGTCTTCTGATTTCTTGACTGCAGTCTCCATTCTGATTGATGAGCCAAAGTGTAGAAATTCTTGAACTATTTCAGTGTCTTCATTGTCTACTTTAAAGTTATGTAAATCATTTGTGGTCACTATTTTTGTTTTCTTAATGCTCGACTGTAAAACTGCTATTGCACTTTTTTCATTGATTTTCTTCTGTAATTGTTCCAAAACTTTGGAGCCATACAGACAGCCCCAATCTGGCTTTTTGCCACTGCAAAAAGAGCTGCCAAATGCTGCTCCTTTTTGGGGTGGCAAAAAGTTGCCCTTAGTGCCACTTCCATGGCTCTTTTGTGCCCCTTTGGCACAGCGTGTCTACATGCTGCACCAACGGGATGCTCTGATGCCACACACCATGCGGTGGGGTGTGCGGTGTGACGGCGTTGTCAGGGCAGAGTTGGGGTAGCCGGCGAGTGGTCACCCCACCCCACCCCAACTCCACACCCAGGCTGGCTTTTTTGGCCAGTCTGCACAGGCCCTTTGTTATTTTCTTCTAATATGGTGTCATCTGCTGGTCTGTGAAAAAAATGGCTATGGGGGAGGCAGATATTTATATCCCATTTCATACCCTCAAGGGGTACTTGATGTTACTACATGGTGTAATAAAGGCTTTGATGGTTTTCCCATGAAATTCACAAAGGGATCTGGAACAGCTGATGGGTTTAACTCTGGAGTAATAAAACACTGATTGGGTTTGAGACAATCTCTGGATAGTCAGAAAGGAAGGGGACATAGAGACACTGCATGAGGTGAGGTAGATGGTAAGGTCTCTGATTGCTTTGCAATTGGACTCCCTTTGTCTCCATTGTGAGAGGAAATGCAAAGAGCAGAGGGGGGGACAGAGTGATCAGCAAACCCAGTTAGCATTTATTTAGGTCACATGCATGTCCTCGGGTCACTGTGACTCTTTTCACATGCAGCCTCCTAGTTTCCACAGGTCATTGTGATCTCTCAAAACATGTCCAGCACTAGATATTAATTATGAAACTCCATATTCAGCAGGAAGGGTATATGCTAACACAATAAAGCCTTTATGATGGCATTACAAGGATGTTGTCACCAGCCGAAGCAACCAAATACTCCAGGGTAAATGCTGAGGAGCAGGGTGTGTAACACATGTACCTTCTTTAGAGGAAACTCTTTGTAGGAGCCAGCTGCTGCTTTCGTTGGTAGCAACAAGCAGCTGTTTGATGACTTTGACAGCCTGTTTTACTCCCATGAATAGAACCACAGTCCATAGAAGATAGCAGATTTCTTTTGATCTACAGTTTCATAAGGTTTAGCCAGTGACACACAGAGAGGGGGGGGGATTTCTTGTATATTTGATCATGCCAAAGTTCAGGCTTACAGTCAGTATGAAAGCAGTGAGGCTGGACAGTTAGAGTAATAAAAGAAAAAAAACTTTTTTGATGATGACTGCCTGCTAGATAAAAGCATAAAGCCATTTTATTGTATATGTAAAACAGAAAACTGTCTGTCTCAATAAAGTTATCATTAAACTATCCTAATGACAAGCATTGCCATGCTGTACATTCACTGATATTTTGAGTTTGCCATGGAATGGCCCTTGTGAAATCCTTGTTCACTTTAATTACTGCCTTTTCTCTCACTGACTTCTTATCTCCAGAGATTCACCAAGCCTTTGAAGGAATGATTAACAATGCCTCTTTCCTCTCTTTCATTTCCTTTATATTTGCTATTCTCCTACATTAAGGTACCATTAAATATTGTTTATCTCACACCAATTCCTGCTCAGTCTTTCTTTGTGGGGTTATTCAGACAGTGAAAATAATGCTGGTAGAATGTGAATTAAGTCTTTGTTGATCACATGCATTTTGAAGGCACCCAAGTAAGTTGTGGGTGGCTGCCACCCCACCTGACCCCTGTATTAACCTGGGATAATTGATCTTGGAGGGTTTTGCTGAGTTTTCCTAAAAGATTCACATTTCAGCTGTTGTGAATAACATGTGAATAGACCTGGGATAAAACTCTGCATGCCTTGAATGTGTTTTCAATACATCTGCATCTTTATTTGCAGTGCTGACATGTGTGGCAACAGAACATGCAGAGATCTGCACAGATGCAGTTTTGATTTAAAAAAATAGCGTGAACAATAAAACCAGAATGCATAAGTGAGATTATTCAAAATAGTTGCATTAAAAAATTCTGAATAACCTGTGGGCAAGGCCTTATTTATTTTGAATTTGTGTAATGCTTATGAAATGATAGTAGTTTATAAATTTTAAATGATAACAATGATTGCTTCTGAAGAAGGAGATATGCAGGGTGACCAGATAGCCTCCTTTTTCTGGATGTGTCCTATGTTTCAACCAAGTAATGCATCTACAATAGGCCAATCACTTTTGCCCATGTCTCTCTCAGTCACCCAGTACCATTTTCCTATGCTTCCCTCCATTCTGTTTTCAATGTTAAAACCTCCCCACATTTTCCTTCTCTTTCTCCCCCTTCAAACCTCTCCCAGCCAACTAACACCATTTGTCTGCTGTTGGAGGAAAAGGTTTTAACATCAGATTCAGAATGGAAGGAAGTGGTTTAAGGTGGCCAGAAGAGGTCTGGAGAGGGAGAAGGAAGAGGCCGAGAGAAGGCTGGATAATGGATAACACCAACAAGGCATTTTAATGAAGATAAGTTCATCAGAAAAATACAGTTGAACACTTAATAAAATACAATATATATAATATAGTTGTAAATAAACCATATGTAATGAATTTAAAATTACTGTTTTTAGCTTTTATTTTCTAATGTTCTACAGTTTTCGTGAATGTTCTACATTTTGTGGCACCTTGTCCTGCTTTGCGGTTATGACATCTGGTCATGGGGGGGGTATTGCCTACTTGGTTATTTTCTTTTAGTTTTTTGAATGAAATGAAAATATTGGAATGTCTGTCCATGGTCCCAGTGTACAAGTTCTCCATCTGCTCCCCAGGAGCACTTAAGAAAGCTAGATCATTAGATTAGTTGCAGATTTGAGAAATAAACAAAAAAGAAGCTGAAATCTATTATTTATTTTTATGACTATATTTTAGTGTTAGGGAAGGGCACCTGTTGGATCTTCTGCCTCTAGTACTGAAATAACTTGATTGACCTTGGGCAGTGGCATCACTAAACAGGTGCAGCCCACATCAGGTGACACCCCAGAAGAAGGTCCTAACCCAACTGGGCCCTTTTCCCACTGTGGGGTGAGAAGGAGTGAGCACAACCCTCCCAATTTTGCTATGGTGGCCACAGTTTCTTCAGGAGGAGGCTGCCATCACCATCATGGGGAAGGATGGAGAAGATTGAGCACACCTAGCCCTGCTTCACCATGGTGGCAAAGACCTCCTCATGAGGAGGCCACAGTGGTGGCAAAGGAGAAGGGGTGAGCATGCCCTTTTGGCCACCACTGCCCCTCCCAACAGTCCCCCTTGCACTGGGTGACACCAGGGATGGGGACACCACTGGCCATGGGTACTGTATGCCACGAAATCCCAAGGCAACAAAATGACTTGGGCCAACCCTGCCAGAGAGTAGGCTGAAATGAAGGGAGAAAGGAATTGGATAGGAGGAAAGCGTCCATTTCAAAATGCAGTGGGGCACTTGGACTAAGCCACAAATGTGGAATTGTACATTGCGTTTTGTACACAAGAGATTTGCTAGATTATCCATGGACAGGGATAACCTGACCACAGTAGTTCATGAGTAGGCAATGTCCTGTCTAGATTGCTGCAAAGAGCTGTACATAGGGCTGCCCTTTAGGGTGATACAGAAACTATAGCTGGTGTAAAACATAGTGGGTGAATTGTTGTTTAGACCAGTGGTTCCCAAAGTGTGCTCCAAGGAGCCCTTAGAGCTCCGCATGCACTTTCCATGTGCTCCACAGCCACTCCAGGAAAATGAAGGAAATAAAAATTGAATGAAATTAAAGAATAACAAATAAAAAGTAATACTATTCCTAAACACCATTAACTTGTAAGACATAGTCTAGGCCTCTTAGGGGCTCCGCCACAGAAATTGATTCTAAAAAGGGCTCTGCAAGTCAAAAGGTTGGGAACCCCTGGTTTAGACCATTACATAGAGACCAATTACACTATTTTAAAAGGCACTGCACTGACTGCCAACATGCTTCTGGTTTGTGTTCAAGATGTTGGTTGTGACATTCACGGTCCTATGCATTCAAAATCTGAGACCTTGAGACTTAAAAGAGAACTCCTCTCTGAATACAGCTGTTCAGACATTAAGATCTCCAAAGGGAACCCTACCATGTGTTCTGCCATTAGGAGTAGGACACAAAGTGGAGACATGGGAGGTCTTATCCACTATGGCACCCCATTGCAAAATGCCCTCATTTGCAGGCCCAGGTGGAGCCAGTGTTGACCTTATGTCTTTGGGCCAATACAGATGGTCCAAAAGGGGTGGCACAGATCTGACCCTGGGAGCGGTGGATTGGGGCCCAGCAACCGCATGCTGCAGCCCAGATCCTCCTTTTTGCCACCCCCAAAGAGTGGCAAAATCCCACTCCTTTTGGGGGCTGCAAAAGGCTGCCCTTTCAGCCATGGTGGCAGCTTTTTTGTGCCCTTTTGGTGTAGCATGTGTGCACGCTGCGCCAAGAGGGCGTCCTGATGCTGTGCACTGTGCAAACGGGCGCACGGTATCAGGACAGGGTTGGGATGGAGCCGGGGCAGCTGGCATGTGGCTGCCCTGCCCCAATTTCACTCCCAGGCCGGCCCTGTCAAGTTAAAATGACCAAATAAGCTTAGCTTGGTCTTGGTTAATAGGAGTGTAGGCTGTATTCTGATTAAGTTTGAAAACAGTTTACATTGTGTTTTTTTGAAAAACTCTTTTGAAGTACACTCATCCCTCCACATTCACTCAGTTTAAGGCACAGGATCCTCATGAATGTGGAAAAATCACAAATAACAAAAACACTGTTTTTACCTGA